TTTTTTGTTTTTTCTTATTCATTTACAAGTGATTTATGCTATAATGCTTAACGTGAAGGGTGATTTCGAAAAGCAAATCGTGCCTGCTTGAAAGCAATTTTCGTTTAAGCAACATCCGTAAGCGTCTTAAAGAAGACATTGCTTAAGTTAAATATCTTCTTTCAAAAAAAAAAAAAAATAAATAAATAAATAATAATAATAATAAAAATAAATACAAAACATATTGTGAATTATTATGAGTTCTTGTACGGTAAAGCTGTTGCTCATCATCTATTTAACCATGGGCGATCATTGTGCCAATATGGATAGAATTACTAAAGTAAGTGAAAAATTCATCATTATAAACATTTTCATTTATCTCTCATAATTGATGGGAAATTAAATTGCATATCTGTTTATATTGCAATTGATTAATTGACTTTCAATTTTAATAAATGCAAGTACTTTGCTCACGAAATCATACCATGTTACATGCATTTTTTAGCAAACTCATCAGATTAGCTTAGCAAGGTACCTAAGATGTGCTTGTTATTGCACTAAAGCTTTTGCAAAAGATGCAAAAGAACTTGCAGTGCTATAAAATGACTAAGCTTAAGGATGGACGGCAACTTTGTAAGATCGCCTTAATTTGTAAGATCGATCATTAAATACCCTACATCACATTGTCTAACACAATTCTTATTTTTATTATAGAACACGAAAATTATATATAAAGCGGGTCCAAAACGCAACGTAATGTAATACGAATTTAATCCTTACATAGAGCAGCATCCAAAAATAGGCATAAATGGTCTAGAGTTCATTTTTATATGATATCACTATAATCTCCTCTGGGTCAGTTTTCATCACCACTTGTTAAAACTTAGATTTTTCTATTCCTTCAAGGATGAATTTTCGTGAAACTACTTATTAGGGTAGAATCCCAAAAAAAAAGTCGAGATGGTCCAACTTTGGTACAGCTAATTTTTTTATATTCAATTATACCTTTTTGTCGTATGAACTTCGGTTTTCGCCATATGAGATGGGGTTCAAAAATTGCCCCAGCCAATTTAGAATGTCGAAACACTACTACTTAGCCACTTTTGCCGAGAAATTTTGATAATTACAATTTTTTTCCATATAACGATTTTTCGAAATAGGGCGTTATGTGGGGAATAGTCGAAAAAGTGGAGCGATCCGCACCATTTTCAATAGCGTTCGTCCTTGGGAGAAAGCATGTCGTTATACCATATTCCATTGAAATATCTCAAAAAATCCAAACTTTAAAAATTGCATGGCTTGATATCAGACGGACAGACAAGCTTAGATCAATTCAGATAACGATTATAAATCGATCGGTATAATAAAAGATGCCTTAAGCCCTTTTACATGTTATATACGACGGCATTAAGTTAATTTACCCTGTACCACAACTGATGTAGTGTATACAACAACAAAATAACTCAATTTTCATACTGCATAATATTGGGTAAGGTCACGACTGATTTTTTCTATTTTCAGAATAAAAGTGGAATTTTCTATGCATATGAAAGCGAAGGTGTTCACAGTTTTCGCAAAATAAACTTGTGAGCGTTGTAGGCGTGTTCTTTGAAAAGCTTGCGTCATTTCCAAATTCTTTTGCAAATTTGCAGGCGATATCTTTATTATTGCGAAATGGACAAGGTTTACCAAAGATAGTGCACAGTGGAGCAGACGAACAGATGGTCAGATGAGTGAATGGACATGCTTAGGTGCATTCCTAATTTTAAACTAGCTAAGAATTGCTTCCGTGCGTTAAAAAAGTTTCGAATAAAAATGAAATTGTGACGTTCTATAAAATTAAGTAGGCGTGGCTAATTTTTTTCTAGATGTAGACGTATCTTAGATCCGTCCATAGAATATGCGGTCAAATTTTTGTAGACTTATCTACTATAGCTGAAGAGTAATGAGCAAAAATGAGCAATTTTCCATTCTCTTTGAAAAACAGAGGTGTTCTCAGTTTACGTGGTGCTATGGACGTGTCCTTGGACCAATGTGGCCCATTTTCAATACTAACCTGCGTGCAAGAACTTCCAATGTTTTTGTCACACCTGAAGTCGATAACTTCGTTTTTGCGGCCCGAAGCATGATTACATCGGACATTACACTGAGTTAGTTCAGAATTCGATGCTGATCAAGAATATATATACTTTGTGGGGTCTCTGGAGCTTGCCATCTGGACATTGCAAACGTTTCGACAAAATGAATGTGATATAAAAACGGAAGCTTAGCGTGATAGACTCACCACTTCATCATTCTTATTATTTCCATTTTTCCTCGTATCAAGCTTTGCGCTTCCCATTCACTCCTTCAATATATCCTGGTCGTTTTGCTCATTACACGATCCGTTTCGGCAAAGCGAGTAATATAAGCGTTGTTTTATGTGCTGTACTACAAAGCTGAAACTTATTTGGAGAGAAATTTTCTAAAACGAAATATTGAAATAAAAAAATCTCGCATTAATATCACTCCGAAAAATGTCACAAAAGTCCTGGTACTTTTTGATGAAAGTATGTAAAAACCTTCTAGTATTTGATTGCAAAATTTTTACGTAAATAGTTAAAGCTCCTTTATGGACATATGAGAAAACATTGTCAATTAATTTGCTGATGGAATTTTCATTTTTTGACAAAATAGAATAATAGAACAAGACAATAGGAGAAAGTAATAGGAGATAGCATTTAAGATGAAATCTTTCATGATCATATGGCTAATTTAACACATCAAGAACTTGGTCGCTGAGTTTCGAACAATTTCTGGCAATTATTTTGATAATATTAATAAAAACTTACTATTTCTTTACAAGATTGATTGTAAGGTTGTATCGTACATAAAAATCTCAACATGTCGTATAAAAGAAATTACAATTACATTTTAAAGTTAAAAGATCTCGTAAATATACTTTTCATATGCATACTACATTATATGAAATGTACCTTGACTTCTCTGCTTAGCTTGATTCATTTGTCTATCGGAGGGCATTCTCATTGTGACAAATCACTTAGGTGAATGTTTATATAAATAAAAGTTTACTGGGAATAAGCAAAGGACACCACAAACCCTACGTGTCCAATTTTATAAGAAACTTTCATCTAATCTTCCATCTATTATTCATATATGATACGAAAGTTTAATTGATAAACCTTTAGTTATTATTCACTGAAGGAATGAGATGATCGATATATATTTAAAATTTTCCTTCTTCTTATTATCTCCTGTAGAAGCGTCAAATTTATCGTGAACAAGTGTTACCACATGCCGGCGGGCGTGTACCCGATACAGCTTTCGAAACAGAGCGTCTATTTTTGAATCAATTGCAGAAAGATGGCATCAGTGTACCCGATGGCGTAGTGCCAGAGCAAAGAAATCCACAGGTCTGGCGAACTCTTTTCAATATCTTTGAATTTTATATATCATAATGCAAGTCATACCTGTTCAGGTTTATCCATTCTTAAGTAGACCATCGCGTAAAGTATTTCGTGTGGCTTTAAGTTCCGACGGACGTTTTACACCTGAAGAGGGCCGCTACCGTTATCACGAGCTGCCATCGATCGAAACGACATATTTGTTTCCACAAATTCACGGGCAAAAAATGGATTTAACCCCACAAACTGTTGTCCTGCCAGTTTATAAGCCCCTACATATATATAATCCGCTTCTAAATCAAGTGAAATTTCAATCGCAAGATAAATGTATTAAGCTCTCTCTTTCAATATTGATTTTTCGATAACTAACAATTAAAAAAAAAATATATAACAAATTTTCATTACAGCTCAATATCAGAACGTTATACCGCTGAGAATGAATAAAATTTTCACTAAATCAAAATCATATCAGAATTTCAATATTATTCATACGCCAACAATACCAAAATCTGCTCGTGTTTCTCGAACGGGTGGCAAACCGTATTTACCCACCTACAAAAGCGATCAGGTAAACTCTTCATTTATATCTTAATAATTAATAAAAAACAATTTGATTTTTCGAATTTTTCCTTTTTATTTTTATGTTTATTTTCTTTACAGCTTTTCATTAATAATTTTAATTTGAATTTTTTAAAGAAAATCGAGGCTTACGATAACGATGGCCTGAACGATATGATGAGTTATTAACGGACACATTATATACATTGTGTGCACATAGGCACATGTATACGTACTTAATAATCTTAAATTGTATAGGTATTTGATTCTGAATCGATTTATTTAAGTCCGTCCCTTCGTCCGCTACCTCATGTCCCGCATGTACACATGCTCAGTATTCTTAAATTGTATAAAGATTCGATTTGGAATCGATTTATTTAAATCCGTCCCTTCGTCCACTATCTCATTTCCCGCTTAGCCATTCTATCCGATATTTAAACCGTAAATTTAAATCTACCGCAAACCGTACGTATATATTTAATGAACAGAACAGAACAAATCAAATGAAATAACATTTTTTTTTTTCTCACTAGTTTTTTAACATTTTCATAAGTGTATTTTTGGGCAAATCAGTTTCGCTTCCAATGATGATTTTTAAAATGAATGTTGGTTTTATGATTTTGAAAGATATTATAATTGGCCGAACGAATGGATTTAATTAAATCGACTCATCAGCTTGGCATAATAAGATTGCTTTTTTTTTAATGAAATCATTATTATTACATACCGTTGTACTCCGGAAGCAAAGAAAAACTTATTATAGACATTTTTTTTGTAGAAGAATTTTTTTATAACAAAAATACTAATAATATGTTAACAACAAAAAAAAAAACTACAACAAAAAAAAACGGAAAAATATTTTAATTGCTTAATAAAAACTTTATACAAAATATATTTGTAAAAAATCTTTTTAATCTAAATTTTTTTGTATATAGATAACATAACGAAGCGAGTTTCTAATAAATAATTATTTTAGAATTTTTTTTAATTCTAATTTTTTTTTTTTTTGTAAAAAAACGATCTAAATTATTTTTATAAAAACACTGTCTATCCAATAAATATAACACTAGAGTAACGGTACAAAAATTAAAGTTTATTACTTACTTCTCATTACGTTTTTCATTTCGATGAATGTTGCAAAATGTTCGCGAGTTTTTGTGTGCAAAAGTGTTTTTAAGCAAAAATTATTTATGAAAATGTGTATAAAAATTAAAAAAAATTTACTGCAAAAATCGAAGATTTAAACAGACAAAAACGCGATAGTTTTGCTCTAGGCCACCCTACAGTCTTTCATCTAACGACTTTTCAAGATAAGGCGTTCAAGAAATTCACGCAAAATGGTCGCAAAGATATTCCGTGCCGAAGCATTTTCAATAGCGTTCGTCCCTGCATACGAACACAGAATTTTATCGAATTTCATCGAAATATCTCGAAAATTGCGATCTGCACGTTGAACCTAAGAAAGTACGACAGACAGACGGACAGGCAAGCTTAGATCGATCGGAGTCGGATCTATCTCTATTCTTTCTGGTTGTTAGATACATACATTCACACATACTTAATATACCCTTGTACCATTACTAGTAGTGTATGGTATATATAGAAAATGCATTGCTATGAAAATCCCACATGTGATGAAATGAAAAACTAAAGTTTGAAAAAATGGTAAAACTAAATACACATTCACACCGCCGAACCTGGCGAATGTCGGAAAGACTAACAACAATTCCCAGAGATGGATTAACACCAAAATGTCGCAATGCAATTAGATACCGTCCATTTGCAAAAGACAAAGTGACTCGACTCAATAATACGAATAATATTCGAATGAACAAGACTAGAAAAAGCGTTATAATTACAAGTTCTTGTACATTATCTGTAAATAGATCTCCTAAGAATTGTTAATAAAACCTACGCTATTCCAAAAATCACAATTCTGTGCTACGAACTTAATCTGCAACGAAATCGGATAAATAGGTGAAATCCCAAAAGGGGATTACGAGGGGTATGTTACAGTATTTCTCATTGCTTCAATACAAATATTGGAATGATTTCTTTTCCCACTAAAATTCTGTGTTTTCGATATCCGCTACTGAAACTTGAAGGGTTTCCTTCATTCAATTTATTGGACACATGCGATTACACATACAATTGCGTCTCTGTGAAAAAATGGTTTGTGGGAAAAGTATTGAAAATTTTTGTGATTTTTATACCCACCACCAAGGCATGAGAGGTACAATTAATTGCGTCAAGATGTTTGCAACGCCCAGAACGAAACATCAGAGACGACACAAAGTATATATATTCTTGATTAGCATCAAATTCTAAATCGATTTAAGCATATCCGTCTCTCCATCTGTTGTAAACATTCTCCCCGCCGCACAAATGAAACGATAGCGTTTTCAAATTTGGCAGAGATATTAGAAGTTCTTACCCGCAGGTTGGTATTGCAAATGGGCCATGTCGGTCGAAGCACCACGTGAATCAAGAGCAGGAGAAGTTTGTTCTTTTACATCTTTTGTATTTTTTTTGGATAACGATGATGAGTGTACATGGGGTTCGGTCCTGACCGAATTGAACTTATTTTCTTGTTTTTAAATTAAATGCTTTTATATTCAAAATGAATTTTGTTTAAGTAAACACGTTTATTATCTATGATCTTATGCTATGCCTCGAAACGTTTCGACAATGCCATTGATGTCAATATTTTATAGCTTATTGACCGGAAACCGGTGGCCGTTTGAAAGCCACTTTTGCAGGGAGCGAAACAAACTGTAATCGATCGTAGATTTTACCTTGGAGGCATCAAAACTGTCCAATAAAACTCTCTCAACTATTGCTGGATCGTCAAAGATTAGCATTTTGACCGCAGGCTTCGCAAATGTTTTCACGGAGCGTTTTTATGTTTTTATAGAAAATTTTTTCAAAAATTAAACTAAGTTTCACATTAATGCAGATTTTGAAATGATTAACGGGATATCAAAGTATCTGCAACGTCATCTTTTGAACGCACAATCATTGACATAACCTGTCGCCAAAGTTACGACATCACGTACCACGTACCACGTAGTGAGGGAAATCCCTCAATATATTTTTACTTTAACATCTGTCCGTCCATACATTACGGTATTTTTGGGACTCGTTGAAAGAGAAGAGGCCAACGTGACGCAAATGGTCGTCTTAATAAACAGCGACAACTTTTATTTTGTTTAATGTAAGCGGTGGTCATCAACTAACAATGCCTGCGGTAGTCCAAATACTGTAAATACTAATCTGTAAGGGATATGAAAAAAAAAAAAAAAATTTACAATAAAAATAGTTTACAATTATTTTCATGCAAAGGGATCTTTGAAGGCCCATATATTGGAGGATAATCAAGCCTTACGTTACATGGCGTGATCAAATTTAGCAAACTCAGCTTAGCTTCCTAAAAATTGTATTATTATGTTTTAATTTTCGTTATGAAAAAATAGAAATTAGACTTTCTACCCATATAAGCACTTGGTTGTTATGACAACAACAATCCCTATATATAGGATTAGGGTCTAAAAAATAGAAACATGTGATTCAAATTCACTTACTATTATGGACCAATTTTGATCATAAAATATTAAAAATTAAACATTTTTCGGAAGAGCTTACTCTTTATTCAGAAGAAGAGCTTACTTTTTATATGAGATGAGATCCAAGGAAGGGACGATTCATTTTTATATCAAATTATTTTTATGAAAAAATTTTCCATATAAAAAGCTTATGTTCCATTGAAACTCTTATACGAGGTAGGGATTCAAACAATGCATTCACGTCGTCCAAATTCCAATGAACCAATTTTCACGAAGAAATATACCTTTGTACCGTAGAGAGATTCATTTTTTGTAGGAACGTTTATATGACAGATGGACACGCATCACTAATTTAGAGTGCCGAAAACCTATTACTCAGTGATTTTTGCCTAAACTCACGACAAAATATATATGGCCTTATATTTCCTACATACTGGTTATAAACTAAAACTTTCTTGCAAGTTATAAGAAGAGAAGAAGTGTCTTTCCAAATATTTTAATTTATGGTAAATTTCATACATATACATATATATTGATATGTATATATAATATATATCGATCGGTATCTTTCTGCTGTAACTTGCAACCATTCTTCTTCTTTTCTTTTTTTGTTTGCATACTTGGTAGATATTCATTAAACGGTTACAAAAATACGAATTGAATTAATTTCTTTCAATTACCTTATTCCACATTAATGATATGATAGTGGTAGAAATATTTAAACTGAAATGATGTGTGAAATTAATTGTAATCGAAAGAAATCGCACACATCACATATACATTTGTTTTTAATTTCAGTTTTCATTTATCATAATCTAATATATAAAAGTTTACGTTAAAGAGTGTAGTCGCGCCACGTCGTAGGATCGCTTATATGAGAGTGGGTTCAAAAAATTACTCCAGCCGAATCAAATTTTTCGTATCAAGTTCGAATGCCCAAATACGACTATAGAGCGAGTTTTGTTGAGAAATTTTGAAAAATGCAATTTTTGTTTCCGATAAAGCAAGTTTTTTAAATCGGGCTTTATATGTGGAATGGTCGACGGTCGATGCATCATCGATCCAAACCGCTTGCAATAGCGTTCGTCCTAATATCTCAAAAATTGCAAAGTATAGGTGGACATCAGAACAGAGCAGAGAAGCAGACAGACCGGCTTAAATTGATTCAGGAAAGTCTTCTGAATCGATCGGTTTAAAAACTGGATCTATCTTAAGCCCTTCTGTATGTTACATACGTCCGCACAAGCTTAATGTAGCCTGTACCACAAGTGGTGTAGGGTATAGAAAAAGCTGCAAAGCAAAGATTCTTGTAAGCAAAAGCACACATCTTAAGCATTGTCTTCCACTGCTCTATGAAGCAGTTTTTATACCTGAAAAGTAGATCTAGCACGTTATAGATTTTTTGTATAAAATAATGACCGTCCAAGAAGATTTCATTGATATTGCATTCCACGAAATATGATGAATTATGACGGGGTCGACTAAATGCTAAATTATTGTATTACACGAAGCTGATCTTTGTTTACGTTATTACGTTATAAGCTTTCATATCTTCAACAGAATTTTATGAAATATGAATAGAGCGCCTAAATGAATAATTATAATTAATTAATAAGATTATAAAGGTTGAAATAAATGAAAAGTGAAATATATATATATATATATATATATATTTTGTATATATTATGATAAAGACAAATATGACATTTATGATCAAAGTAAATCTCGAACTCGCCAAAGCAACGGTATAAATAAAATTCCTTCCATGGCAAAGAAGCCATGTATTGTAGTTCCATAAAACCTAAGCCTGAGTGACGACCGAAGGCAAAGAATCACGACTAACAACTCATCGGTTGTGGGTTTGAAGTGGATCTCAAGTGCGGTGCAGTTTTAGTAATAAAGCCAATAGCCTTAAATGCTAGTGCTTTACGACTTTAGTCTTAGCATTTATTTTTTTGGCTAAATTAATAATAATAATAATTATAATAATACAATATAAAATTACGCAATTTTGTAAAATTTTTTTTTTTTTTTTTTTTTTTGTCCACAATGTGATATAATTACGTCTGAGAATTCGTCCGCATAGTGTATATTGGGCTTTGAAATCATCTAGCCAGTCTCAAAATAAAGCTCATTCAAAATCTCTATCGTTTTTTGACTCAATGAAACTTCCTGCGAGTTCAAGTACAATCGCAGACACCATACAATTCCTCGTAATGCTATTTTACAATGAAACACCAAATGTTAATAGTAACCCGCGGTATTAGAATTAGCCTCAAGCTTATAGTAAGATTTATCCTATCATAAAATGTACAATTAACCAAGAAGAAAGTGTGAGCGCAACAGACCTCTCTAGTCCCGCTGATAATTCCCTTTTCAGCGCACTTCTACAGTAGTATTCTAGATAACAAAAATATTTAATTACGATAAATCACTTAGGCTCTGTTACTGCGATTATATAAGAAAAAATAAACCAAAAAAAAAAATGGGAATTAATTCAATTACATAATATTTTCATAGGAGTATTGTCCGTAAATTAACATTTTAAGTGAAGAAGAGAAAAATTAGTGCTTTTGTTTTTAATTTTTATGTATTTTTTTTCTTTTGTTTTTGTTTCTATTTTCAAGTACCGTTGCAAAATTTTGTGCATAACGAAAGTAAAAGTCCACATATTTAAGGCATAATTTACAATGTAAATGCCACAATGATTTGGGCGTGCAGGTGTGTGCGCATACGCACGAGTATGTGTATGTGTATATGTGTTTATATGTGTTTTTGTATAGCATCCACATACCCATATTGCACACACACACACACACACAATTGCTAACACTGCAAAACAAACTCTAACCGCAAACTTTAAAATTAAGTTAAAAAAAAAAAAAAAAAAAAAAAAAAAAAAAAAAACTATGCCATCAAAAACAAAAAAGAAAAAAGGAAAAAGCTTAGCGCTCCTAATGATAACATTAACTTTTTCTTGGTGAGTGTGTTTTACTTCTTTAACCAGACGTAATAGATTTTGACCTAAAATATTTAAAAATCAAGAAAATGGATGAATAAATAAAAATCAAATAACTCACATGTCTACACTCTATATACAGCGAGTGACAGTATATCGCGTAACGTATACATTGTCTACCTTGTTGCCTATAGATGCCTAAAAATCTTTGATTATACTATGAAATGTACCACGAGAAGAGCTTTTTTTCTTTTCAATAAACTTTGGAAACGGACTGAGTTAAGTTGAATGCGTTGCATTTATTGTTCGTTCAAGTGGATTTTAGTTGAAGTTTTTGTGTCTTTGAAGATAGACGGTAAACAATACAAAAATTGTTCGAAACAATCGTTTTTTATTTTTTTTTTATTTTTAAAGGTATCTACTACCATTGAACCCAAATAAAAAAATAAAAAAAATTACAAAAAAAAAAAAAACACAACTCTTTGTTTATTTTTAAATTATTCTTATGGATCATTAAATATAAATTAACTACGATTTAATGAATACTATCAGTAACATCTTTAACCTTTGCAGCAGTAAATATTGACATGTTTTCCCAACGTTTCCTAATATGTTTGGGCATTTCATTGACTGTAGTGTGTTATGCGGCTTATGCTATAGAAGTTCAGGTAACTTTTTCAAAACAATTCCTTATTCTTATTAATAACAATCTCTCTGCAACGATATGATTTAAACGAATAAAGCAAACTGAATTGAATCCACCAATCAATCGATTGGTAAGGGCTGAATTTCAACTCCATGCTTCCACAAGTTATTAACAATTAAATCAAATGGCTTCTCTGCAATCTGAAAAAAACAGAGGTCACTACAGTGGCTTGGTGTTTTAGGCATCACGCATTCCACTTAACATTATAAATATATTCTCGGTTTAGCACGAAGAGCGGCATCGAGTTACCCATGTATCTCTACTTGGTCGTTGATTTTGATTTTAAAATCTTACCTAGAGAGATAAATTCGTTGTCAAATTTTTCCTTAAAAACAACTTCGTATTAAGCTCCAAACTTTGCTCAATTGGACTCTAATATATTTTTTCCAAATAATTAAAAAAAAGTCATATATAAAGAAGGCGCAGTTTGTAATATATTTGTCCATAAGTCCTGGGTTTAAGTAAGAGAAGAACTTTTCCTTTTTTCTAAAATTCATTTCGCAATCAAATATCCCAGATGCAAGGTATTAGAATATACCATCACAACCAAATGTTTGCTGTTTTTTTTTAATATCCAAACCTTGTCTACATATTACTAGAATTAATTCTTCAATCGCCCCAAGGGACTATAAAAACTTTTTTTATCTCTAATGCTACGGCGTCTCACAATGGATTTCTTTGTTTTAATTATTTATCGTATGCGAGAAAATTCTTATACAATATAGCTAGAAAAAATATTGAGAGATATTTTTTCACTTGACATTTGTGCCAATTTTCAGCCTTCTCCGAATCTCAATTTTGCTGACCACAAAAGTTGCAAAATCTTATCCTACTTAATAAGTTCTCTTAAGCGTACTTTTGAATGTTATGACTTGATGAATAGTGAATGAAGAATATAAAAATCGTGGGCGATTTGTCTTAATTAGCAAAAATCTTAAAATTAGATATTCGGTCCATAACAATTCTTCCATTATTTTATTAAATATGCTGTTCGAGTGTATTATGTTAAGCATGCTATCCTGCGGCTTAGTTATATAAGGCGCATACATGTATGTATTATATCTTAACACAACTATACATTTAGCGTTCGTGATGTATACCGCACTATATACATAATATGGCGAATATATCATACGTGCACAAATATACATATTTACCTACACCTGCACCATAGTGCGGGAATGTAAGGGACTTCGAAAATTGTTGTTCCATGTAATCAACACCGCCAGTCAGCGTTTAATGGTAACCAAAAAAGCCAAAAAAAATTTGGAACGAAAAAAATACAAATAAATACTAATAATAATAATCTGAGTAAGAGAGGAATTAGGTATAGGAAAAATCGTAGTAATCATAGCTCACTTGTACGCTTTTCTATGCCCATAGGGAAGAGAATGTGTTCATGGATAGATAACCAATAGAGTGATCGTAATTTTTTCCAGGCCAGTCGCCGATGAGTGAGGCAAGAAACGATTAAATTTCAAACTTGCAATGTTTAGTAATTTTCTGTAAAAAATCCGGAAGCATACTATGGCTATAGCCGATTGATGATTGGATGTCAATCGGATTTTTTTATTTTTATGGATGTGAAGAATTTCCTTTTAACGCGAGAGTACACATAGACACAATAGTCAGGGAAAATCGGAAAATTCCGCGCTGTTGCACGAATTTGGATAGAGGAGGAATATTAGGACTACATCCGAGCTAAGATGATCGTTACGGAAAATAATATTCGACGGTACAGAATGCGAAAAAAAAAAAATCTACTGACATATATGATAAATATCTTTGTATAATTGCGCATACCATAGATGCTTACATACATTTGAGCAAAAGTTTTTGTTGCAAACCATTGCTATGAGTAACACTTGACTTTAAAAGAAAAAAAGAATAATAAAAAACCGTTATAACATATCATTGAAAGTAAATGTTGGTGTGCTTAGCTACACCACCTAAGCTATTTCGTATTAAATGAACTGAAACCAACATTAACTGAAAATATTTTTATATATTATTGTCTACTTGTTGCCTGTATCTATATCTTAAAGAACTCTAACCTAGTTTTGTATATCAATTAATATTTTAATATTTTTTTTTTTTTTTTTTTGAAAGTACCAGTAAAAAATAAAAATCGATTGAATGATCGTATATAGCAGAGAACGAACCACAACACTCAGTAATTCCAATAACAACATTTATTCAATAATATTGCATTTAATTTATAATATAATATATTGATTGCATGGTCGAATTATTTATGAATACGAATAAAAGAACCGGTTTAATGCTATGTTCCAGATTTTTTTCTCTTTTCGGTACTTGTGCTTAAAATTGCACCCTTCACCATATGTAAGCAAATATATATATATATATATATATATATATATATATATATATATATATGTATATGTATATACGTATATGTGAATGTATGTATCGGACTAAATTTGAACGCAAGAAATCGAATTAGACCTGCAACCAGTTAGTTTAGATTTACTTTTCAATTTGTATTTATTTCTTTTTTTATGGTTTTTTTTTTTTTTGGTTTTTGCTTTTTTTTATATTTATTTACATATACCAACTGTTGCCAAAATTCGTATGTTATATATGCATGTTTGCCTTGTAAAAAATTTATACAAGAGTTATATAATAATCAAATGGAAATAATTACCGAGTGATCATATAATTCTTGCACTACTTCTTTGTTGTTTCTTTTCTTTTATTTTTATTTTTTTTTTTTTTTAGACTTTCGGTTATTTATTTCATCCTCCAACTGAGGAACGAAAAAAAGAAGAGAAACAAGATTTATCGAAGGTACCTGGCGTGCCGGGGGTCGATTATCCTGTTTATCATGAGGTACCTCATACCTCATTCTCCTGTGCTCACGTGCCGGCTGTTCCCGGAATGTACGCGAACCTTGAGACGGGCTGTCAAGCGTATCATGTGTGTCATGATGGCCGTGAAGGTCATCAAGGTGCCTCATTTTTGTGCACCAATGGTACAATTTTCAATCAAAAAGAATTCGCCTGTGATTGGTGGTATAATGTTAAATGCGAAGATGCCGTTAATTACTATCAGTAAGTATTGCAACATGCATTCGAAAGAATGGATCTTTATGTAGAAGCTCAGAGTAAAAAAAATTTTCATATATTTTGTTGCTTACTACTACACTCCTGCTTCATTTGTTTAATGGAAACAGGCGATTACATGGCAAATTTTCATTTTATAAAAATTTCTCGCATGCGACATGAAAACTTTAACATTTCTCTCTCCCTCCATGTAAAATAGTCAAGAAATAAAAACGAGAATGGTTTCTTTACCATACGGACATACATTCTGAATTATATGGAAATTATATATCGCACAATTAAGCACAACAAACTGTACATATATGAAAATGAAATGGAAATAATAAGTAACTTCTATTATAACAAATACATGAACGAATTTATGTATTCATGCATTTTTGTGTTCAAAGAACAGATAACAATTTTCGAGTTATTTTGACGAAATTTAATACACTGGCATGTTTTCGTTCATGCACAACCTGTATCTATAACCGATTAGGTCGGGTCGTTTTTACGATCCTTTCACTTTATTACGCCAAATCTTCAATAAGTTATACGATTGTAGAAATAGCATTTTCGCGACGGGCTGAAGATCGTCTGGCTGAGAAAAAAAAAAACTGAAAAATTAAAATGAAATACGGAACTTTTATGCACTAACTCTAGTCTTATTCATACAAAGAATAAACTTTTATATGACAATAAAATCTAGTTTTTAGTATTTTATAATAAAAATTGGTTCAGGTGACGGATTTATTGTGTTAACTGTCGACCCTAGCAAACTATTTTTCGGACCATGAAGTAAAATGTCACTCTTGGTATTTTATGAGGAGAATGGACGACCATTAACAAGCTCTTTGAAAACAGAAAAAAAGATAGTTTTGCTAAATTTTTTCATTGACTGAACTAAACTCGAACCTCATTGATCGTCCAAAAGAAAAGTGTGCCGTTACATAGTTAATAATGTAAAACAGATAAAAGTAAGAAATAGTTCCTTAAAGAATTGAAATTGAATGTGTTCAATTTTGACCGCGTAAATCATATTTTTGGACTTTTCTTTATAAAGCTCTTTACGAAAGACCGTCCATTATAGGACATAAGTTTCGCGGATGTGATAATTAATGGCGCAACTAAGTAAAGAATAAATGTTTGAAAAAAAATTTATCACATTAAATATAAGGTCTCCTGATGCTTATTAACCTCTAAACTTTGAACTGTGAAGATATTGGGTATTTAAATGCCGCACATAGTGAACTGTAACGCTTTAATTTATCTTTTTGTCATAATTGCTAATCAATGAGTGAATGAATTATTAATCATTGAATCACATAGAAATCGGGTGAGTGAATGAATAATTAATGACTGAATCATATAGAAACATCGTGTTTATGCAGCCGAGTTTATGCGCCGAGAATATTAAAAAAAATTTTTTTCTTAACTAAATTATGATTTTTTAGAAATTTTCAAGAAAAATGAACATCAATTAGGTAAACCGACGTCACCTATACATTGCATATTTCTAGTGATACACGCAAAAAAAATTTCACGCGACAAAAACTGAGCATCTTTTTTCTAATGACAAAAGGAAGCAACACTTGGGAATCAGCAAAGCCGTATTTGACATCGTTAGGTATCCGTGCAGTACGCCTTCCTAAGCAAACTTTTATTTCGTGACAAATTGGTCGTTCGATTTAAGACATCAAGTCTTTCCTCTTCAAAACTTTGCATTGCATTCTAGGATGCCATGTCTAGGGCCATTTTCTTCATGATTTTTTATTTACTTGAAAAAGGTTAGATTTCCGAAGCGATCTAGTAAATGTACAAAATGCCATCCTAGACAATGTTCTTGTTTGTATTAAAAAATTTTTGTTACTCGAACATCATAAAAAAACCACGCCTTAGACCGCTATATTACTGTATTCATCTATATATATAGGTATGTTGAAATGGAATTTGACACAACATTTTTTTTAATAAAATTGTATATATAACAATATTCGTGAGAATCGTTGAGATAAACTAACAATAAAACTATTCTTATGTAATATAATATATATCCAAGATTCGCAATAAACCAAATATTATTTTCTACTTTTTTTTTTCTATTTAGTAATTAAAAAAATATATTATATAAAAATTTATAATAATATATATATGTATATATATATATACATATTTTTTTTTTTTTGTAGTAATACATAATTTTTCTCAATTTTAGTTTGAATGCTGATCCTGAGCACAATCCTTACATCCCTAAAAAAAAAGTAGTAGAAGAAGAGAAACCCGCTTATGACGAACATGAACATAAATTCTTGATACATGTTTAATTTCATTATTCGTATAGAGAAAGAAATACCATTCATTTGGATCTATATTATTTCGCCTACGAAATCTTTTCATTCATTTATACCTTTTTTTTTATTTTATCATTTTCAAAAAGAATATCATCATTTGTAATATATCTCATAAAAACAATAAAAAATTTCAATCCTCTAAATATATTCATGAAATCAGTAATTTTATTTTTTAATAAGTAAATAAAATGATATAGAAATAAACGCACCTTCCATCGTACGGATCGTTGGTTTATTCGTAAGCACGGCTGACACTATGGAGAATTTCTATTTACAACGGAATATGTTTTACACATTCACCAAATCTTGGGAATCCCCGGAATGCTTTATTACGACTGATATATTGGCAAATATTGAATTAAAATCCATCCGTCTCTGACAAAATGCAAAATTTCGTAGCAAAACATTACGCCATGAATCATTCGCAGATTCGTTTTATCGCTTCCTTAAAAATAAGGCATTTAGAGTACCGTTCGTGCTATTAAAGCAGAGAATCATATTCAATTCGAATTGATATTATGGCCGAAAAGGTAAAATTATGCCGCAAAGTGATAAGCAAATCTACGCCGGTTATATCAAGGAAACGCGTTAAGTGAATATGCCCAGCCCCATTGATAAATAACAGATATTTTAACTTCGAAGAGATCTCTCCACCTCCATAGCGTTTGACTATAACCAAGTTCGGATCTAAGTTCAGCCAATTGACAATTTTTAAACATTTGACGTTTGAAATTTACCCGGCAAACCCGCTAGTTTTACTACAAAAACTGGCCAATTATTTTAAGCTACTCAAACCATCAACATATAGATTATAAAATCATGATAATCACGGTTTCCATTTCTAAGCAAAGCAATCATGTACCTGAAGGTTAATTTTCGTTCGCGACCAAGCCGATAATCGATTAACATTTTTGCCGTGATCGCGTAAGTCTTTTGTCTCAATTTTCTTGCTATCATTCATATGTAGATGAAAAAACAGAAAAAAGAGAATTTTTTTATATTTAATTGTGGCTATCAAAATCCGAGAAACAACAGCTGTTTCGCCTCTCTGGTAAATAAACAAATAAACCAACTATTAATGCAGGAATATTTTGCAAAGATATTGGAAAAATAAATTTTCAAAAATTATCAATTAATTCTGGGAAACAGTAATTTTTAGTGCATTTTTATATTTGCCGAAGGTAACAACTGTATTACTACTTAAAACAATAGATTTACGACTTTGCGCGTTCGCATGTGTTTCGCTCGACGCTGCAACGATGATAAGAATTCTTCTAGCGAATTTTATACATTGATTAATTACGCTCCGCTGGCTACATTTAAGCGTTTGCGAATTGAAAATCTAGTGATGATTGCGATTAAAATAAGGATTTAATCGAATGGACAGAAAAGGCTTTGAATGCACGATTATTAACAATGTTTTGTGCCGTCTTGTGTTCGCTTAAAAAGTTTTCTATATTCTAGTTTAATAAGAAGAATTGTTAACCTTTGATTAAGTAAATGTATAATCAATTATCGGCTTGGTCACGAACGAAAGGTGACTTTCAGATACGTGACTGCCACCCAGTTTTTTTTCCTTTTTATTCGTCTGAATGTATCAGCGGGCGGAGATGCCAACATCACATATCACAGTTTTCGGGTCCTTACTACAATCGACCCACTTGTGACAACTTTTTTTGGTAATAACACTCGTTAAGGCGTTACCTTACATATAGATCATTAATCAGTAAAAGTATTATAGTTTTATGCTCCTTTAATGGAATTGCACATTGGTCTGACATCAACAATTCAGACTAAAGCCATGCTAACGACACCTAATCTTCGTTTTATAGTAAACTCTAGACAAACTGCTGGCGATCATTTCAACTTCACAATTTCAAAAATACATATTTTAAAAAAATTTCGCTTCCTTTCGTTCCTGTTGAAACTAAATTAAGGTTAATCGAGTGTCTTGTCGTCCCACTAATATCGTAAGATGTTAATGTATACGGTAAGCTGGATAATCTCTCCAGAAATAAATTGCAAGCTGAGGTGAATAAGTATATAATGAATGTGCATAGCAAGCGCAAATATGATAGCATATCATTTTATTCGTCTAAAATCTTAGATAGCACTTTACCGATTTAGAGATCTTATTTTTATTCATAGGATAATTAATATTCCAGAACATTTGTATGCCAAGCATCAGTTAGTTAAATCCAAACGTACGCACAATCTTATTCGGCCGAACCACAAGTCCCTTTCTTCTTCAAAACTGTTTTTTATTAACACAATGAAACGAGGGAATTCTGGGTCCGTAGGTACCAAGTCAATTGCCAAAGCCGTAGGTTTGCTCTTGAAGTTAAGTCATCCTTTAACAAATGTACCAATCCATGATTCTTTTAATCTAAGTTGCATATTTCATCTTAATTTCATTTTATTTCATCATTACTGAGTTATATGAATCGCGTTACGCTATTGCCGATGTGATTATTATTGGGAGGTTTTATTCTGTTAGCATTGTATCTCCTTGATATTGAATGATTGTCGTAAGAGATTTTCTATAATCAATGGATAATAGTTAACGGGATTGATAACCTAATCCCTGGTAGTTTCATTGAGTTATACATAAGCACTAATGGTAATGATCATTAATCACTATATATATATATATATACATATTGATACAACAACAATTACTTGGGGAATTACTATCATTTGTAAAGAAATTCTTATTGTTAAGTTAATTTAGTTTAGTAAATAAATAAATGTCATTTTCATGTTTTCTAAAGTAATAAGTTTGCAGTTTTTATAATAAAAACAATTGCACTTTCAATACTGTTGGTAATAAATCAAAACGAGAAAAACTGTTGTTATGTAAAATATAACGATATTCCTTTATTTCCGATACTTGGTAACATTATAGTATTGTAAAGATGGGGAAAATTCGATTGCATTAAAGAATTTTTCGAAATTTTAGGAGATTATTCGATACTTTCACCATTAATAAGAATTAAGTTATGTGCAACGTAAAGAGGAAGGAGAAAACATAAACAGCAAACAGTTTAATGTAACTGGGAAACCGAAGGGGCAGGAATGTTATCAAAAAATAAAGTTAATCACTACGTTGGTGAAGTAATGAGAAGATGGCAAAAATTACATGAGACATCTAACACGTTCGCATATCAATTAAATGTGCAAGAGAGTAAATACTTGGAGGGATCCAATTGCATTTATTCAGAGGTAATGAGTTGACCCGAAGAAAATTAAATGTTCTTTTTCTAATTCCTATTCTATGAATGAAACGCAGTTGAATCCTGAACGCACCACCTTAAGGCGAGCACCACAAGTCATCCAATCATTGAATCCTGTCTTCGAAGAAAATAAATTTAATTTTAAAAAAATTCCTCAACAGGAGCTTTTAATGATTTTACCTTACGACGGAATAGAAGTATCAATAATCATTAACAAAAGCCCTTTAACGCTATACCACAGCTTAATTTGTCCTGATGTGCAGAATGGTCTCGCACAACGTGTGACTTTAGACACTTTACGGTTCTGCAGAGATTTCTTATTGTCTATAGAGGACGATCGCGGTTTTCGTATCGGTTACAATAGCCCCGGAGCACTGGCGTCAGTTAATCATCTGCATATGCATTTAATAAACATCGAAAAGGATTTATATATAGACAACGCGGTAAACGTCATAAAATATATACACACCACCAAAAGATTAACTATACTGGATTTTTTCTTTTGAAAAAAACCATCGCCATGTAACGGATGCACGTTCTACCTCATCTTAAAAGTGCAGAGCATTCACCTGTGTCCATAGTCCCGTCCGCCTATTGTTGTTATTGGAATTGTAATAGTTTTAAAATTGAAACAAAAGGCGAAAGCTCCAGTCTTATATTCTCAATTGATAGTCGCAGATTGATGGAACGACATCTACACAGAGAACTGTAATCCCACGCCTATAACAGAAATTTGTTTAAAACTTTATATCAATACGTTCCCGACGCATCTAGACATGCAATGCAAATGTGCTCTTAATTGGTCAACGGACGCATCTGTCATAAGAAAATACTGTATAATTTTTATTCTTTGGTTTAAAATGGTGGTCCTTTATGGAGTTATATCGTTTTTTTTTTTTTCCCCTGGAATTATTAAAAGATTTATTGTAGGAATTGGATACTTTGTGTGAAGATGATGTCTTCCGTTTAAATAGCTCGATGCCCACCCAGGCGGTATGTTGGATTTTCAATCAAAGGGACTCTGTAACACAAATGGAAAACAAAACAAGGAAGCTTTATGAATTTCTCGAATGGCTGTGTACTGAAAATACGCCACATAATATATTTATGACACCTGACCGGGTGAAGTCGCAGAAACGTTTAAAAATATTCATATATCCGCGTGAAAATTTTTGTGTCGTCAAAGACTTCAAAGCATTCAACGTAGGATTCTGCGAAATGTCGGGTTATGTGCCAGTCGGCGGTAAGCTTTTTTACCTTATATTGCAAGAAAATAAAAAAAATATCCTTACTTTCCTTTCAGATAAGCAACTTTTTGATCAATTAACTGAAACGCAGGTTTTTAAACGAATCGATGAAGAAATTGGTTTAATTTTCCCAAAAATCATTAATTATTTTGAATCAGGAAGAACATAAAAATACGAATATACCGTCCTTAGTTCAGTATTTAACAAAAAAAAAGAAAGTTATGATTTTGTGTTGACGAATCCTTTACCTAGACCCTCCTTTTTAATCACTTTAGTATTGGCTGTGATGCAATAATCAACCTGTTTATCGCCGGACTGATATTTAATCAACTGAATTAAATCGTTTAAACTATTCGTCAACAACGTGGAACGTATTGTAGCAAAAAAGTTCATCATATGGTGTAAATTGTGTCTGCAATTAAAATAAATAAAATAAATTTTATACGACGCAATTAAGGAAAAATGTTTACATTATTAATAAAATGGGACCCAAAAGTTCTGAAGTTTTGTACAAGTGATGCATATAAGCCCTTGTATGCTTTTGGCAAGCCAAGCAAGAGCAATCTTCAAGCAGCGGTACGAATTCTTCTTTAAGGCTGTAATCGAAATTAATTTTTCGTATAGTTTACCTTTTCAAATCCTTAATATTAATAATAATGGAAAACGACAATCCCTCCTATTTGTTTTTCTTTTTCTTTACTATGTGATGGATGCTTTCATTTCTTTGAGTAAGTATTTTGATTATGCTTACCACTCATCCGTTATGTCAATAAAAGGTCCTTCCGTTTTTGCCTCGCTAACGTGTTTCTGTTTATTGTAAGTAAATACTAAAGCCTTAAAATTTATCGCCGCACAATATGCATATGATGAGTCGAACATATCAACGCCCAATCTTATTAACTCCAACATCACCAAAGGCGTATAAGCTCCGGGCAGCATTTTTGGTTTTTCAAAATCCAATTCTTTCATACAATGCTCTACTATTGGTATTAATTGATCACAACTTACTTTACAAGCAGTTAAGCCGTAATTGTGGAAACCTTCAAATATATAACCACTGCATTGACTTTTCGTTTTAATATGCTTTATAGATTGTGAACGTGCCTGGACGTTGTAACCGCCAACAATAGACGCAAAAAAAACGGAATCTTTTAATATTGGCGATTGCTGTTGCCTCTCGCAGCAATAATTCATAAATTGCTGCGTACGCTCAACGGACTTTTGTACTCTTTTTTTTGGCGCTCTGGCAATTGGTGTCGGCATCATTTAGGCTTTGATAGATATCCGGCTTAAATATTTCCACTAGATCCATATATTTTTGAGCAGTGAGTGCAATTTTTCCACGTCTTGTAAATAAGGGCACCATATCTTTATCATTCAACCTGCTAGGAGTTATTTCGCAGGGATCTCTTATCGTTAAAAAGGTTAAATAATCTTTAAAACCTATATAAGTTGATAGTCGATTAATGCCAGCAGCTTTGGATTCCATTAGAGCTTCACTCATATGATCCATAGTAGCCAAAGATAATAGTAATACTTGCTCATCTTGCGTAACACGATCAAATACATCACGCGATAAATATGGAATGCTTCCCCCCTAAATTAAAATTGCATATTAACATATTATTCATATAATAATGTTATTTTATAAAAGTCACCTTTGTGACTTGTAACAGCAACGGTGTTTTATACCGTTTACCCGATTCATTATGCACTAAACAACCTAAACGTCCGGAATTTTTACTTATATGTTCTACAACAAATTTCATTTCGAAATTATATTTTCATTTAAGATAAATCATATAAAGCGTGTGAAATATCCCGCTTTTTTATGAAAGTCTACTTGCTTTCTTCCTTTGTTATTATTAACCAGAATGCTTTTTGCGATGTGCAAATAACAAACTGATACGAAACGTATAACAAACCGGATGCACAAAAGAAACGACCTTGTATTCAGTTTGTATCTAATTAAAATTATGACGTTGCTCAAATTACAAAATGTAATTAATATTATCGTTATAATATAATTAGATAAAAGAAAAAAAAAAAAAATAAATAAATTTGAACTAAAGCAAAAACCTAATGGTGGACACTGAACGGATATATTTTTGATAAGTAAAAAACAGCAAAATAAGATTAATATAAACTTAAGTTAATCTAAATAATAAAAAAAACATTAATGAAGTCTTGTAAGGTTTTTTATTAAAAGGAATTATTTAATTTTCTTAATAGTCCTAGCATCGATGTGTAAAGTAGATCGACTAAATGGTTAACATGGTTAAGATTTGATTCACGTAATTTTGTCATTGAAAAATTAATTGGTTCACGTTGGATCGATACGATAGTTACCAATTTTGACGGGCAATATCTTAAAATTAAAAATATATATAAACATATCTCTCTACGACTCTATACATTAATAAAATATTCCAACTAAATTCTTCTCATTCCTTAATTCGTTCATTAACATATATATTAAGAGAAGAAATGTTTAAAATTTATTTGGGATAGGAACTTTAAGAAACTTTTTGCTGCACAAATAGCAAAGGTGAATTAATTTCACTTAATTGAAGAGAATTCGTTTTAAATGCTTAGAATTAGATAGACGCATTTCTAAAATTTGTTGAATTTCGATTAGTAATCGTTTTGCTCCGATTTATTATTCGGTAAAGTTGATTATGAATTCATAGTTGTTAACTACTAGCGTTATAAAAATATAAAGACTAAACGAATTTCATTTTTACCGGAAATTGACTAAAGAGAAACTTAAATGCCGAGTTTGAAAAGAAAAAAAATAAAAATTTAACCGGGAAATTTGATTTACTATGTTAATTAATCATAATTATTATTATTGCACAAAGTTACGCCCCTCTCTTGACTTAGCCACTGGCGTAAGGAAAGTTTAGGCAATTATTAATTGTTGGAAATTTATAAAATATGAGCTATAACATGTGAAGGTTTGTTTTTTGATTTCGAAAAAAAGTATTCTACAATGTATGTGGTTATCATCATTGATGTCACACAGAGTAGCCCTTTGATCGACCTCGCTCAGCACGGAACACAATCTCAACATTTCGCACCATTGTATATTCGAACCTTATTTAATTTTCTCAAGGAGTACCATTTATAAAGGAATTTAAAAAGTTGCTTAATCAGAAATACGGGAGTTTAGTTTATTTTGGAACATTTTTTTTTTTTTTTTCGTTTATTATCGTAAAAATAAAAGTAATGAGCGTTTCAAACGTAACGGAAAGATTTGATATATAATTATCTCAAAAAATATTGCAACTTACAACCTTAGCGCATTGCCTGTGGTTCACTTCTCTTTTGCTTAATAAATTTCTCTTCTCTCGCTACATTAGAAATTTTTTTTAATCATCGTAAAACAACATATCTCTCTTTAGCTCTCTTCTCGCTCGTGGCATCTTGCGGCTATACTCTTGATGACGTTTGTTTAAATAAAACAAAACCAATTAAATGTAATATAATTTCTTTTTCTATCTTTTTCCGCTCTCGATTTTTTTCCGTTCACATTTATAAGTTTTTTCTTTTATACAAATGCTTTTGTGTGCGTGTCTATCTGCTTTTTGCACTTATTACATGCTTAGACATATATATATATATATATATATAAATGAATAAATGTGCATGTATGTACATGTATCGAAAAAGGAAATTTAGTACGGCCATGTGTGCCGAAATTTTTGGTGTTGCACAAAAATTAAAAAACAGTTTGAATCTAAGCGTTGAACGGTGTGTTTAGCGTTGCCTTAGTTTGTTCCGTTCTTAGGAGCGGTTTGTACGATGTGCGATGTGTTTGTTGGTCTGCTTAATGTTTATCCATTCAGTGTTTTTTTTTTCATGCACTTACTCGGTTTTAGCTTATCATTATAGATCGTATTGTGCGTTCAAAGAAAATTTCGTTTTATTATAAAATATTT